CTTTTGAAGCTCTATTTTACCAGAGTGCAATGTTTAGAAAATCCAATACTGTAGTATTTTAGCATCTGTTCAAATGCTAAATAAATGCCCCAATTTAAGAAAAAAAAAAAAAAAAAAGGTCTCCTTATCTCAGCAGGACTTTGAAAGCGTATTTGGTTAGTGGGAAGAGATTGAATTTAATATCCTGGAATTAGAACTTCCTCAATTCTATCTAGATTCTAAAAGAACTTTGCACTTTGGGGATATGCACCTCCAACAACGCTTTCTTTTTTGCAGTTGCAGTTGCAGACATCTAAATTGGAAAAAGTTTATACATTCCTCTAGTGCTGACAGGCTTTCTGTGGTGCGAGACTTGAGAACACAAATACCGAATGAAGACCTACAGGATGCATGTGGCTGGACTGCAGCCCAGGTGAAAGGCAAGAAAGTCAGAAGTCAAGCTCCTGACACCACCTAAGGCACAGCTTATTTTAAGCTGGAAAGTGTCTGGATGATTATCTTCCCACTCCTCTCCTTAGGCAGAGAAGCCCTAAAAGCAGAGATTAAGAGATTGCTGGAAACCCACAGGCATGTGGCACCTCTGTTATTATGTTAAGAGGGCAAACAGCTGGGCATAGACAAGTCGAATACTTCCAGACTGTGCAGCTTTGAAACTGAATTTAAAATGATCAGTGGATTTCTAAGTTAAGGGAGAAAAAGATCACCATTTTTTAAAGATTTATAACATTTTTTGAGTCTGGGGGGGGGTCCTTGGTGGCAATAAGAGGGTGTGGGATCTTCTGGAATTGGAACAGATGTAGGTGCTGGGAACCAAATTCTGGTCCCCTGGAAGAGCAGCAAGCACTGTTAACCACTGGGCCATCTCTCCAGCCCCAAGATCACTATTTTTGAGGAAAATCCTATTTTTCCTCGACAATGAAATATGGATTTGAATTGTAAGGGCCAATACAAAAAAAAATGAATTTATATGTTGTTGACTGGCTCTATATGCTACCTATAAATTCTTTACTAAGCCCTAATTGATGGAGGAAAGGAATTCTGACTCAACTAGTAGTCATAAGTTTTAGATGAAAGAAAAGGGTTTTCTTTTTTTCATAAGATGTTGTTGGCAGTTTATTAAAGCACAAAATGGCATTTCAGCACATGGCAACCCTGAATAGGCCTGGAGTGTCATTTAAAACTCTCTATGAGATAAAGCTTTAATGTGTGGGAAGGGAAGCCAGGACATGCTGACATCTTCACGCACTGACTGCCTCCATCATCTGCAGTGTTCATGCAGTTCTTGAACTTAGCAGTAGATGGCTCCTGGTTCCATCTTTGGAGCTGGTGCGCTCCTGCAGGAACAGCTGGTACAGATTTAGAAAAGCAAGGGACGGGCAAATACTGGGACAAATACGGAGAAACTGATGCTTGTGATTTGGACATATTATTGAACTTGTGAAGTACATTGCTCATGCTGTACAAATGAACACTTATGCTAGCTGATAAAGCTGGGCAGTTGTATTTAGACGTCCATGCCTGATGAAAATCCATTATGTCATATTCCTAGAAGAATAAAACTGATCTGCAAATGATAACCCCAATCTTCATTATCTAATCAAGTATTGTCAAAAGGGCTTGAGTCCTAAAAGATGTCCCTCTTCTTCACTGTCTCATACAGTGCCCACTAGCCACAGTGACTAAAGAATACTTAAAATGTGGCTATTGTGCTGGGACAGTGGCTTTGTATGGCTCTTGCCCAGCATGTGCAAGGCCTTAGTTTCTGTCACCAGCACAGGAGAGACAGCAATGGGGCCAGTGCAGTTTAAACAGCATGTGGCTAGAAGCTGTTATATTGAAGAGCACAGATATAAGATAGATATAGATGACTGATCTTATGTTAATCATAAAATATCACAGGGGAATAACTTTTGTTAAAAGATTTTACTTTTCAATAGGAAAATGATGTGATACTTAAGATATTTGTAAAAAGTCAGATTTTTTTTCCCTCTGTATTTTGTTACATAGTTACTGAGATAGTGTGATTTCTATATAGTACATAAGGTGCTCTCCTTTTTATAGGAATAATTTTTTATGTATTAAATTAATTTTCATACTAGGGTTCTCTAATACAATTTGAGTCAGTTGGACAATTTCTAAATATATATTTTTACCTTGAGAGAAAATAATAAAAATATAAACATATGAAAAATGATTGGTCAAAAAAGAAAGCTGATAGTATCATTGAGTTACTAGGCCAAGAAAAATTTTCTGGTCATATTATTGATAATAATTTTTAATATTCTTACATGTAGAAGAAAAACAAAAGCAAAAGGCAATTCAAGAAAATATTAAATTTGTACACAAATTCACAGAAGGAATGCTCCTCCCCTCTCTTCATTTCCAAGACCTGAGGAAGCACCTGAACATCTCAGGACCATCACTTCATCCTGGCCTGGCTACTCTAACTAAAGTGAAAATGTATGAAGGACACTGGAAACAAATGAAGCAGCTGTGACAGAAATACCCAGGAGGCATAACCATGGAGTCCAACCTCCGATGTCCACAGACACTGCAGACGTACCAAAAAATATGGGCAGCTCTATGTAGTGTGGGCACAGTGCTGGGAAAGTGAAAAGGGTGGAGAGACAATAGTGGAATTCAAATACTAGAAACACCAAATTTTCAACAGTACAATTTGCCAATTTTAAGAATTCACAGAAACTAATAAAAACTTTCTCATTCATTTTCTAATCATCTATAGCATAATTAAGATGCTCTCAAGCCTTGCTGGGGATTCCTGGTTCCTCTGCCAAGCAAGGCAGAGTACCTTCCTTTCCCCACCTCCTTCCCAAATGTTCTCTTTGTGGGGTCACTCAAATGTCCCCAGTTCAAGTCAGGTAGTCTTTGGAGACTGAAACAGTTGATCCAATGGCTTTCTGTACTGTACCAGGAACCCCACCTAGTATGCACAGGCACTCCTGCCCACAGCTTCCTCCCTCATTCTTCTCTCTCCCCCAGATGAGTGGTATTTTAACTGCTTTAATTTGACCTATTGTATGCTATTAACCACCAGAGTTAATTTTACATTATAAGGATGAAATGTCAGTAATAGTAAAAAGAACATATTATGATAAACAATACTTGGAAATATTTATATATATTTAAGGCTATACTAGGTTAGATGTTAAGGTGGAAGAAAGACAATGCAAACATTTTGGGTGATTCTCTTCTCCCCAAGACAGTATGATCCCTAGAAAGGCAGTGTGGTACCAGCAGACACAATACCCGGTGCAGAACATAATCTGCAGCATTGCTGAAGTAAATTCTAAGAACTGAACACCCCAAGCACAAGGTCAGTATGCTGAGAAGACAGAAAGCTTGCCACCTTTAGGAAAACAAAGGATGGACAGGCATGGAGAGGAAGAAACTTATTCATCAGTGGCTCTTAGACTGTGAGAAAATCTGGAAAGGAATAACATAGCAAGCACTGTTTGTGAACACTGACCCTGATGTCTGTCACAAGTGCCCTGTGTCCTCAGTGGCTAAAATATTCCCCCTGCCCCAAATAAAACTGCCATTAATGATAGAGTCTTTAACTAGCTTCCTTTTTTTTTCTTCTATAAAACCTCAACAGCCAAAATATTTTGTTCTTTTTCTTTAAGAAATCAATTCTACATGTGTTCTAAACTACTTTTCACCCATTATTTTCTCCCAAATCACCAATCAGGTATAGACACCACTTCACTTTAAAGGTCCTTGTTTAAACCTCTTAGCATAGCCTGACCCCCATAGTCCCAACTATGTTCAAATTAAGGCACAGTCATCACATGCTAAACTCCAGCTACTGTCCTCAGTAGGAAAGAATAATTATTCACTCATCTGAGTCTGACTGTGCCAGACATCATTCAAGAGTGTGACACCCTGATCCCTGGACTCTTCCCCTTTATGCTCCCAGATCAAGACCCTTCCTCCCTGTGAGACTAAATATAGACCTACACACTCAAGCAGTTCCTGACCACTGTCACATGGCGCTGCTGACGAAGGACTCCTTGGAGACGCGTTCACCCAAACATACATACACAAGTATGCCTTCTTATTTATACATATGCACCATTCCACTGAATTCATCAGCAAAAGTGGCACATGCACATTCACAAGAGAAACGCTGCACCCTAAATGCTGTCCTTGTGCTGTCTGCCACACTGTGCAACCCTACCCCTCACCCCGAAGTCAGAGGACTTGGCCACAGTGCTTTGCCTGAACCGAGTTAATTTGGAAGGGGTAAAGGAGGAAAGCAATTGACAACATAAACACACACACACTCACTCACTCACTCACAGGGGCGCGCACACTTGCCCTTTTCGCTTGTACAGCCCTGAAGTAGTTCCCAAGGATCTTCTAGAAAAGAGAAGCCTCCCACGAGGCTTCCAGGTACCCCAAGCCACGTTCATATCTCCTGAACAGGTGTCCCTAAGCAACTCACTTGGGTTCAGAGGGGAAAAAAAAAGGCAACTTGAGCAAGTCTTGCCTAGTCAACCGAGGAATGACAGTTTGGGGAACACAACACTTGTTTCCCTGACCCTTAAGAATCAGACCTTAGATTATAAGGAATCGGCAAGAAAAACGAGCAGCAGTCCGCGCGCCCCGAGCACACCGGCAAACTACCCAAAGTAGAAGGAAGCAACCTAGGCATGGAAGGGAAGAGGGAATGGAAAAAGGATGAACGTAACTAGACCTCAGACGGTGGCCCGGGCCCCCACGGCTCAGCCTCGCACCTGTTGGGAGCTGCAGCCCCGGCGCAACGACGGCGGGGCGTGGGTACTCCTCGTGGGTCCCGGTTTGGCCAGCGTTCGGCGGCCCGGCATCTCCCGCTGTGCCGCGGGCACCTGGCAACCGGGCGCCGTCCGGAGTCGCGTTCGCCGCGGGTGCGCACCGGGACTCCACGCAGCCCGATCCCGCCTTCCCGCCGCCCGGCTCTGCTCCCTCCCTAGAGAACCGGCCGGCCCCGAAAGACCTACCGGCACACGGACCCCAGCGCCCCCGCCTCCTGCTGCAGTGCCGTGCGCCCCAAAACGCGCCCCTAGAACCGGGAAGGAAAGCGCGCGGGAAGAAAGGAGAAAGCCGCCGAGCCAGTCGCGTTCCTTGTTTATACTGAAACTCCGACCCCGGCGAGGCGCACACCCCCCCGGCTCCCTTGCACCGCCTCCCCACCGCCGCAGGCCTCGCCCCTCCGAGGACCACGCCCCTACGCCCGGACCGACCAATCGTGACGCAGCTCTCCGCCCACGCTGCCCCTCCGCCTCCGCGCCAGACCTGCATCCAAGCCTCAGGCCCGGGACACCCAGGACGCTGTGGTTCGGCCCTCCCACGCTGCAGAGCCCGGCGGGGACCGCAGCGGCGGGCAGGGTTCAGTCCCGCATCCATTTCCTCTTGAGAGCTGCTGCCCGCGGCTGTTTGTGCAGTCATGAGTCCGCGTGTGTGTATTCATTTACCTGTGTACTACCTGCAAATACCGGCTGGACTCGTTGTACGGTATCTATTATCATAATTATGAGCTGAAGCTTACTGTTCGTGTAACTTTCAGAAGCTGAGAGGAACCACAGACCTCAGCAAGTACTTACGCAGAGCCTAAGTGCTACCTATTGTGCAAAACGCTAGGGGCACACCGAGCAGGCTGGTCCCTGATTGCCAAAGCTGAGACAGGCGGACAAACGTTAAGTAAACAAGACACTGGATGGAGATCCAAAATGACAGCTGCTAGAAATTTCGCAAAGGAACCTACTCTGAGTAATGTGATTCTGGAGTCAAGTCAGAAAGACAAGTCCTCAGTGAAGGCTGTGTTGTCATGGCAACTACATACTATTAGGGTTACTATTTTAGAATAAAGGTGAAAACTCAATACTTCCCCTTATACACATGAAAGGTGTGGGAAGAAATGATGGAAATAAAGAGACTCAAAAAAATTTACATGATCTGGAAAATCCTGCCACCTCCGTGACCTTGAGTGAGAAAAGTAGGCTTTAATTTATATATTAGCATTGTTCGACCCATCCTACAGGGCATTATTAAATAAGCATTATTAAATGCTCCCTGTTCCATGGTCCTGGCCTTCTTCTCCTTCCAGGGTTGGAAAGAGCCACCTTGAAGCTCACCTTGTATGTTCTTGGCTGATTCTTCCCTTCATTACCTCACTCCAACCTCCTCCTGCTCGTCCTCTGTATCCTGCGCACTCTTTCCTTCTGTAAATAGGTCTCCCTGAACGCTCTTATTTACTCTCAAAGACCTGAGCCCTTTGCTGAACCCTGGTAATTCTGCAGAGTAAGGAGAACCCATTCAGCCCAGGGAACCAGGCCGTTGCCACTGTACTTGCTGGTTGTTTTTTCAAGCCGAGTTTTCCATCCTGTGTCTGTGACACTTGGCAAATCACTCTTCCTGGTCATGCAGCAAGAAAATAAAAGGGCTGGACTAAACCAGGATATCTTAATGGCACTGCCTAGACACACCCTTTGCAACCTCTGAGTACTCTCAACCCAGAAGGTTGTGCCTTTTTGCTTTCAGAAGTCTTTTTCCCCAAACAAAAGTTTACTTTAGATTCTCAAGATGTAAAGTGAATGCCACTATCATACTGGCACGATGTTTTTTTTTTTTCCAAACCACCTGCCGGCTCCCTATTCTGGCCCATCTCTTGGGCCCCTCGTAGTTCCTCTGTGAGAAGTGTTGTCAAAGGACATAACTTTGGAGCCAGGCACCCCTAACCTTAGCCCTAACTCTTATCACACAGATACCTGTAAAACCCTCCATAAGACGCTGAGGGACTCTGAGACTCAGATAACTCATTGAAACATAGTATCATGTAAATCAACTCATCAAAGAGTATTGAGAAGACTAAAAGTACATAAAATAAATTTGAGATATCTCCCACTGAAGCCTTCCTTAACTACCCGCCCCCCACACACACAAACAGCTTTACTAAGCCACATTACCCTTATACCTAAATAATCAGAGTAACTCTTAGCTTTAGTTTTTCGGCCAAGAGTGGACCGGAACTCCAAGAGTCACTGTTCCTTCTGATGTCTCTTGGAACTGTGCACTCAAGCCAGGACTCACCCATACTTTTATTCAAACAGTCTCTCCAGCATGAATTGGGGGAACTACAAGCTTGGATCCAGCCTTATCCTCAGAGAATCTTGCCCATTGATCTGTAGGCCTAAAATCTTTCATGCACATAATGTCAAGCATACTCCTCAATTCTCAGTGTTTCCAATGAGAATACTAATGTACCACTTCCGGTGCTTTGAATTCAGACAAACCCACATTTATTCACTATCTTGGGTAGAGAACAAAGTGGGATCTGGAAGGATCAAGGTCTGGTGCCCGGGTCCCAAGAGCACATGGTTCAGTGAGCTTGTTTGCATTATAAACAGAAACTTTTTGGAACAAGGTCAAGTATATGCCATATCCAGATTCTGTCCACATTGTAAGTCAGTCCCACAAACCCTCATTTGAAATTGCTATCCCCTCCACTTCTTACAGACCTCCTTTGCTTTTTCTTATTATTTCCTGTATAAGTTTTGTCCCATTGTGGCACTGTATATTTTATTTATTGGTGTTTCTCTCCCTTCAATAAAATGTGAGCTCCATAAGAGAAGAATTTGCTGTTTACCTGCTCTGTTTCCAATGTATAGAACAGTGACCCACACATAATCCCTCAATAAGTTTGTGTTGGTTGAATAAATGGATAAATGAAAGAGTATCCAGCATGTAGTAAGTCAAAAATAATTTCTGTTCCTACTGTGTCTTAACTCTTCTCTTTCATGATCCTTCCCGTTCTCTACCCTCATAGTTTCTTCCTGATCTTTGGGGTCCATTGGGGAAACTTGTATCCTTGTAAAAAATGTTGGAGGGTTGGTGAGATGACTCAGTGGGTAAAGAAAGGTGCTTGCGGCCAAACCTGACCACCTGAATTCCAACCTCAGGACCTACAAGGTAGAAGGAGAGAACCACAATACTTAACACACACACACACACGCATGCACACACACACTAAATAGTAGCAGTCAAGTTGGTACAAATAAAGTCCTGTTGAGTAGAACCTCATTTCAATACTGAAAGATAACTACTTGTATCAACTTTCCCCTATATAGTAGACTACACAGTTAAGGATTTCTTTCCTAATCCTCTTGTAGCTCAAACATGAAATGGGAACAAGTATCATCATGAATGATACAAGTCCTACTTCCTTTCTTTTTAGTCTCTTTCATTTCCTATCTGAAATCCCAATTTACATCATATTGTATTTTCCACTCCACCTTTTGGGAACAGTGATGGTACTGATTTACACGAATACCACATGCGTATATTTACCTAAATGTTCTTGTGCAATCTTTCTCATTCTGTTTTCTCCTTTTCTGTTTGACTTGTGATTTAAAATAATTGATTTCATTTTATTTATTGCTATTGTTATGTGTTTGTGTATATGTGTGCGTGATGTGTGTCTGTGAATGGGCATGTACATGCCACAGCATGCATGTGGAGGTCAGAGGACAACTTTTGGAAGTTGGTTCTCTTCTTTTACCCCGGGTTCTGGGGACCAGACTCAGGCGTCATGTTTATATAACAAGTGTTTTTACTTGCTGAGCTGCCTCACTGGCCCAAACTTGGGTTTTTGAAAGTTTTATTTTTTAATATTTATTTTATTTTTTAAGTTTTGTGTATCTATGTGCCTCTGGGTGGATATGTACCTATGAATGTGGATCCCCACAGAGGTCAGAATTGGGTATCAGACCTCCAGCAGCTGGAGTTATAGGCCGTTGTGAGCCACTCAATGTGGATGCTGGGATCCAAACTCTGGTCCTCTGAAAGAGCAGCAATCACTCTTAATCACTAAGCCATCTCTCTAGTCCCTGAACTTATGGTTTTGATAATTTATCCATGTTTGTATATATTGATGACACTCCTTACTGTTGAATGTTTTATCATACCAGTGTCACATTAGATTGTCTTATGTTAACTCTCACCAAATCCTTGAGAGGTAAGTTTCATTATTTGCATTTGTGACATGAAGAAATGAGGCTCAGGAACATAAATAACTTGCCAAGGTCACATACCTGGAGAGACCATGAATTAAACCCATATATCCTGATTCAAGTGCTCCTAGTGTTCCAATTCTATTAAATTAATTCACTTACAGTCAGAATTATTAAAGAATATTTAAGAGTAAGAAGATATGTGTATTTAAGTTAAGAAGCCAGTTTTTTGTTTTGCAATGCAATATTTATTTGCCTCAAAGATACAAGTTTACAGATACAAGTTCAGTACCATTAGTTGTGATTTATGATTTCATTAAGGCACTTAAACCTTAAGTGAAAATCTCATGAAACAGAACTATCTTCAGATATTAAAACTCCCTGTGTGAAAGATGAATGGGTATCAGACAGGACTGAAGAGGAAAAGGCAGAAGGGAATGTATTCTAAAGTCAGTGCAGCAGAAACATTGAGGAGGAGAGTGGAATCCTCCCTCTCCCCCTCCAACTCCTCCCACTTCACTACTACCACCCACACTTTAATTTGTGACATCTTCTATAATCAGTGTGCTACAATATCTCTCTCTCTCTCTCTCTCTCTCTCTCTCTCTCACCCTACTTAAATCAGTTAGTGTTGCCTGTGTATACATGTGTTTAGGGCTGACAACTTAGGATTGGGAAATTTATCAGGGGGCTTGTCCCTAGAGAAAACTGATTTTCCCTCTCTCTCTGCAACCATTGCCTGCCTGTCACAGTTCATTTAGAGGTGGGGCCTTGTGGAATTTTCCCCCATCCATGTTGATATGTAGGCTGGTATAATCTTGTGCAAGTCTAGCGTGGGCAACCATAACTTTGAGAGTTCATGGGTGTAGCATCCCTGTCATGTCTAAAGGACACTATCTCATAGCAATTCTCTTCCGTTTCTTATAAGCTTTCTGCCCCCCTCTTCCATTATGTTCCCTGAGTCTTAGGTGTAGAGTTGTGCTTTAGATGTCCCGGTTGGATCTGGGCACCCCATGGTCACTTATTCTCTGCATTTTACCAATTGAGGCTCTCTCTAGTAGCCTCCACCTTCTGCATAGAGAAGCATCTTTGATAAGGGGTAGGAGCTGCATTCATCTATATGTGTA